AAAAAGTTTTGGAACAAAAAGTTTCTGGCTCTGGAAACCTGGTTTCCCAGAAATCCGGTACTCGCAAGGCCTAGCGGCCCGTCTCATGCCGATATTCGGATTCAACACTATTTTTTACCTATACTCCACTAGATTTCATTAAAAAAACGATTGATCAGTTACATATGTTCCCTCGTTAGAGCTGCCGAACGTCTCATTACGTAGAAAACTGTTTACTCTACCAAACTGGAGTGTCAGAAAAATTTTAATTGCTATATATGGAGAAAATTTGATAAATCGAAAGCGCACTGAAATTGCAGAAAAATATTGGATTGTCGATTAGTTTTTCGCAATTTTGCTCAGTTTTGAATGCTTATATTTCTGTCACAGATAATATTAAATTTATTCTAATACTTCAATTTGGTAGCGCAAACAGTTTTCTATATAATGAGACATTCGGCAGCTCTAAGTGCTTTTGTATAACTGATTCGGAACGACTTTGCTGAATACTCTAACGTCGATTATAAATCAGTGTATGCCTAATCCCGATCGGGATACACTTTTATATCCCGATTGAGATATGCTTTCTTACGTTATTATGAATGTAAATGATATTAAAGTTAAAAAGGTGGAATCCAGTGTATTGTGGAACCCAATATTAATATATATATGGATTTACCCAATATTAATGGTCCCAATATTCTAGGTATACAATAATATTGGATCCGAATATTATTGGATACCCGATAATATTGTACAATATCCTCAGTAATGATTGGCATTGGTGCATGCCTAACGATTAGATCATTCTCATGCCGCTATTTTTATTAGAGCCACTCTTAAACTTTTTAAAAGAGTTACGGCCAACCATTCAGAAGTTGTCAGCGTTTCGCTTCTCATTCAGTCTCGTGAAAGGATTCGCTTTTCCATGATCATGGAGTATAATATCACGATGGTTTGAATGTTTTGGGTCTATTTTCGCTATACTTATTTGATAATTATAACTTAATGCCATCTTAACTCAACGTATTTTAGCTTACAGTTATGGCAGTCTTGGTTTTTAATTATACATTTTCACTTAAGGAGGCTCCCCCATTTAGGTTTTCGCCCAACGTTCCCAGTTTGTAGAGGATACTTCAAGGCATATGTCTTGAAGTTTTCTCGGCTTACTGGCATTATTTGGCTGAGAAAAAAATTAATTACTTTAAAATATATTGTTAAGTTTTTGAACAAGGGACTATTTTTCATAGAATTCCTGTCCGTTCTCCATTCATCATAAAAACTTGGTTCTTGTCTAGATTGATAGAGAAATGCGTGGAGAATATTTACTATGCGAAAATTTTTCAAAATTTTTGTTCTTTTCTTCCTGTTATTGACTAATTAGCACTAATTAAAGTTAATTTAGCCTACTCTACTAGCTTATAGTCTCATTTGCAAAATAAAGACTCAGCAAAAGACTTTAAGCTATACCTCACCTGACAGAGAATTTCACGAGCTACAAGACTGGCTAGCTTAAGAGTTTTAGAATCCAGTTCATTCATTGAAATTTTTTTATAACAGTTTCGTGCTCAAAAATTTGACAATATTTTTTTAAGTAATGAATTTTTTTCTCAGCCAAACAATGTCAGTAAGCCGAAAAAACTTCAGTACATATACAAACTGGAAAAATTGAACAAAAAAAATTTAAAGCCGTATTTTTCAATTTAAAAATCGAGTTTAATGAATTTCGAAAATCCTTCGTTCATATCCCATGGAATCTGATTCTCAACAACTTTCGTACCCGCACTTTTCCTTGAAAATGATTCCTTCTTGCGAATCGGTTCAAGGTGTTTTTAAAAATACTTCTTGCTCCAAAATGACATTGGGCAGGTAAAAGCGAAATAACTCAGTCAAAAGCTTGACCGAATTTTTTGTAAATTTAGATACATCGTGATGTCCTCTATCGATTGACATCAAAACCGAGGTTATATATAGAAATCTGAAAATTTTATTAAACTTTTAAAAATGGAGCAAAAAATCGAGACTAAACTTATTTTTTCAAAAGCTACAGGTCCGGTACCCGAAAAAAGTATTGAAATATATACTTCAAAGTGTCCTCTACAAACTAATAGGAAAAACCACCTATCAAGCGGTAATTTACGAAGTGTAGGTTTTCCATTATAGAATGTATTAACAGCAAATCAATTAGAGCTTTTCAATTATGCCTTTCCAACCGCTACATTAATACTTGCCAGCAATAAACCACATACTATTCCGCGTGAATTACTTCGTCAAGTAAAAGAAATCGGTTGTGATAATTTCGGGCTAAGTCGATATGTGTTAACATATCCAGCATCTCAAGTAATTAATTTACTAAGGACATCTTCGTGGTGTACGGTATGGATTTTATTCTCAAAATCCTTCAAATTCAAGAATCCACATTTTAATATTGAAGATTACAACGATTTATTACAACAAGAAAATAATAAGATTGTATTTAATAAAGGTTATCACATGAGTCTATGTTATGGGACTCTAATTTCAATGAATAAATTTCATTGGTATTCATCTAACTATCATTATGAGAAGAAATCCAACTGGATAATAAGATTTATTGCAAATAGAGCTGAATTAGTTGAAATGAGTAATCGAACAGTATTACGAAGAGTAATTACAGCAGAGCATTTGGATTGAGGTGTAATTATAGATGTTTATAATCATGGCTTTATTTTATATATGTGTATCAACGGTAATGTGGCAGAATATACACAGGTTAGAAGAGGTATGTACCTACTTGCTTTTTTTCAGTATACTGAACTTTTAAAACTACATTTGTCTTTTTCTGAAAATCAAGATATTACGTGTATACATCTAGGAACAATCAGAAAAAAACTACATACTCTGCTGTCAATGAAACAAGCTTCTCTTTTAATAGTCCAGAAAATGAGCTAGTTCATGGACTGGTAGTCCGGGGTCTCCTCTTCAAAATGGGAGCTAAGAAAGACCTTGTTTTTGACGGCTCGAGCGTTGCATAGAATTTCCTAAACAGCAGTCAAAACATGGACACCGGTTTTAACCGATGTTCCTTCGACTGCTGAAGTGGTTGCTGCGGATTTACGCGTATCGAACGTTTCTTTGCCTGTAAAGCAATTGCATTCCTCTAATTCAGAT